TCCGTCACACTTGATTCCTGTCCAAGCAGTTATAGTCTCCAAAAACGGCATGTCCACGTTCAGTTGGTGAATCAAAGAACGAACGGTACAGTGGTCACATGTCGCATGAGCACGTCAACTCGCGACTTTCGCATAATATATTTTCTTGTGCACATGGGGTGGTAATGCATCGTTCAAAATTATTTTAGACATGAAGTAACAAAATTATGTTGAAAAATAATTATAATAAAAATATCCCCTACATAATATTTTATGTAGGAAAATACATTAACTGTATCTAATTTGTGTATTAGTTCGGTAACTCACATAAAATTTTTAATTTGGTAGGCCTTGGATCTTTGTTAATTATACTTACGTTGTCTTATACCAGTAAAAGTGTCTTACCTTTTCTTAAAAATTTATTTTATTAAAAAAAGGTTTCTTTATTCTTACAGAGTGCCAGATTTGTCAATTCAAATGCATAGCTCTTTTATAAGAGTTTACGATGAGAAACAATGCGATTATTCTGAGTAAAATTATTTTTTGGTTTCGAAAAACGATCATCAAAATCTCGACGCAGATTTGAGTACGTTTCCCATGCAAATAGTAAAATTTCAAGTCATGTATATGTAGTAATTAAATTGCGTAACTTTCGAGTTAGCGGCAGAGATGGGAAATAGAGTGAAACATAAAGGAACGAACAAATACGATAACAATTTGGCACGTTGAGCAACGCAATGACGACTTTTCGCAGTGACGAATTCTTACAAAAAAATTTTTCAATTAGCCGCCGACACTGAATTATTATCCGCTCGGCCCGTTGTGCGCTACAAAATTAAAAAAAAAATATATACATATATTTTAAAAATCAATTTTGTAACTAAAAAATTTTATGGAAATCAAAATAATACTATTTGTTTTGAAAATGCTTATAATTAAATAATCGAGCAAACATTATAGTAACCAGATACAGGCATAAGTAATATTTTATGTTTGTATGACGCCTCTAATGAAAAAGTCTAATTCAGTAGGGTGAGTCACTCTGAGTGTCATAAGAAAACATAAGCCCCAGCTAAAGTAGGTATATAGATATAAAAAATCTTCCTTTCCATCGTTCTCAATTATTTTTTCAATTTTTTTTTTTTTCAATAGATTTATTAATCATCATTAGCACATTCAGCTCGAACAGTGGCTTTTTTTGTTCTCTCCTCCTTTGCATTCGCTTGTACAACATACCTATACGTTCGCAAACGATGAAAGAGCAGTGCGGAGCGCAAGCCTCTTGCCTATAACTTTCGAAATCTTTAAGTAGGTTGAAACGAAAGATCTCGAAGTTGGCTCGCGAGATCTCGCGTGTTGGTGTACACGTGTAGCTGATGGAAAAGCCGCATACGATGTATTACATGACGAGCTGTGTCGGGGGTAAGCGAGAAAATCTTTGGCTTCATTTTTTTATTTTTGCCAACACTCGGTATGCCGGACGAGCTTTGGACAGATTTTGAGACAACAGCAGTTTTGTGTAATAAAGGCAGGGAGAATTTTTATACGGCTGAGGTTGCAGTTTTTGTATAATCGCGGTGCAATAGAAGAAATAATGCTTTCGTTCCTTAATAATTATTTCATCGTAATTTCAGCTCCCGACTAGGAGAGTGGCCCCTTAAAGACCATTTGAGCAACTATTTTTCTAAAAAAGCTTGTTAATAAATCATTGAGTTGCATTTTTCAAATATTAAATTAATAGTATTACATGCATGTCATTATACTTATATTTAACCTGCGCTCGTGTTTATATCGTTGGTCACTCTTACTTTATCTGTGACTGAAATTTATTAATGTACAATGACTCAATCGATTAATTAGCTATTTAGTAAAAAACTTTATTTTTAATCTTTCATTAACTTTATTTTAACTACAGTTACGTGTTTGCACTTCAAAGTAGGAATTGTATATCACTGTTTTCATTAAAAACGATTATCTTTGTTCATTTCAGGCGTAGTATTTACTTCTTGATCTAAATAAATAAAAATGTTATTAGTAAATACTTTTTTTTTCCAAAGACCAATGAACCAGATAAACTTGCTAACTTTTAAAAAACCGAATATTCATTTTGAACTCTACGGCGATTTATAACTAATTTAAATTAAGAAAATACAGATACGACTAATAGGTTTCACTTCAATCCTTTGCACGTCATGAGGAATATGAGCGTAATTTTTGCAAAAAGAAATTTTATAGGTCATATAAATGAATTACCACTTTGCACTGTTTTCGTGGCAACATAAAACCCGCAACGAGTAGTGCTAGTAATTACATTTGACGCATTAAGTGTTAACTCTTTCATTTTTTCGATGGTACTTTTTTTCCTGCTATAATTAAAATTAAACCAAAGAATTGTTGTTCAATTTTGTCGATTATCAGAATTAAAGGAAAAAATGCATCGTTGAAACCTTGACAGCAGACTTTGAAAGCACCTCAAGTATGCGCAACGCGTGGGGTTAACGCTCCGTATTGCAGGACTAAAGAAAAAAAAAAAAAAAAAAAAAAAAAAAAAATTACAGTTAGTGCAATAAAAAAGAAAATAATAACATTCACCCACCTGGTTATAAAACTTTTTACGCGGCCCCTGTGCTCAATCGACTTGGTGTAGTTATTTTAAATATATGTGTATACAAAGTGTCATTGAAGCGCATTAGGATGTACGTTTTTTTCGAACCCATACTCAGTGAGAAAAAACCTGTTTTTCAACTGGCGTGACATGCGACAATGCATTAGTACATTATAATACGTACCTATACGTTTCGCAACGGCTAAAAACATTTCTGATAACAACAAAGATGGAATCGCTTTTTTTTTTTTTTTACAATTTCAATGCCAATTTTGAAAGCATTTTTGTTTACTATTGAGTGCACTTGTCGCAAGTTTGATTCTCGATATTACGCACCTTCCGTTCAAGCACTTTTGAGAACGTACATTTCATGTACATGCGAATAAAAATTAGAAAGAGCTATTAACGCCTTTATGTCCGATATGAAGAATCCTGTAACGGCAATAAACGACGAAAGTGCAATTTTGCCATTATTTCAGTTATGCTTGATTTGTATACATATAAGTATAATTATGCAGTGGATGTTCGAGTTTATGTCCATCTCCGTGTGTGCGTTTATTATACGTATGAGGCCTCGGGCCATACTTTTACTTTTCATCGGTATGTACATGTAGGCGCCGTCTCTGATGCACCGCTTGGTTGTTGGTCACGGGTCCGAGTTTCACTCAAATTTAACGGCCACCAATGTAACGCGTTCACATTCGTATGAATTTTTTTGTATTTTTTTATTTTTTTATTTAAGACATTTATAGATGATGTACATATAACCTCGCGTGTATGAGTATATGAGCAAATTGTAGCGATGAGCTCTAATGTTTTTAGTTCAGATATACATCCCTTTGACCGAAAAATCAAACGAAAAACTATTACTGTATCACACATACCCTCGTAACTGTCGACAAACGCACTCGCGCGAATCCAGTGCAAAAAGAGCGACGCTTTCTTAAAAAATTTTTTTACAGCTTTTTTTTGCGCGCGTAAGTATCGACTTTCTCCTGCCTCTTTGCTCTCCCGCCCCTTGGCGTCGTTCCGCCGTAACACACTCACGCGAAACGAAAAAAAAAAAAAAAAAACAAAACAAACCACATACACATAGTACCATACACTTTCGCCGTGCAAAACTTTTTAATTTTCAAATTTCGGAATCAAGAATCAGATGCAACTCGTTTCATACTTTTCTCTCTCCTTGTGGTAATCAATAATATTATAAGAATATTATTACAAGTGGTTATCGTGGCCTTGAAAAGTGATGTACACACACACACACACACACATGGCGTTAATTGATTAATCAATGGAACTCGGTCCATTCGAGACGTACGAGTCATTGAAGAACAAGTTATTGCTGCAACGATAAATGGATTCGTCGTAAATCATTGAAGCGCGATATCGAACATTTTCCGTTGTTACAGAGTAAACGCAACACGATGTTGTCGATCAATTTAATTGTGCGCGGTCACGGATAATCAAAAGACAACATGGAAAAACTTGGTAAGTGTACAGTTGAACGGTCAATGTGAAACATGTATAGATACATTATATACGAATGTGGATGGATCACTGTGTGGAAGAATAAATGCACGAGCAGTTCTTTGAAATTGTTTTTGGAAATAACTCGTCGATGGAAATGATAGTTTTAAATCATTGAGATGACAAATGGAATTATTAAAATTACATAATCATTTAAACATGTTATTGTGTTGGAAAGAGGAATTGGAATACCACGGCAGTTTTAAAAAAAAAAAACCCCATTTCTTAACTCTAAGGCTGCATATTATATTATACACGTAGAGTCTTGAACTAGGACCACCCATATGCTTGTGCGAGTGCGAAAAAGAGAGTATATGTTCTTGCTTCTCACTCGCACTCACACGGGCTTATGGCTGGTCCTGGAAGTTCAAGACTCCATGTATACACAGCCTTAGTTGAGAAAATTCGCAGCATCACCTATAGATAACTAGCCATGGTTTCTTAGTTCAATATTTAAAAAATTCCTCGATTGATGAAACGCAATCACGTGATTTGGAGCCGATAGAAACATGTGCACATGTATAAAAAAAAATTATTGAACACCATTAATTTTGTTAACAAGCAAAACTTGAGACATTTGTTATTCTTCGATTAGAAGAGAAAAAAAAGGGTTACCCACAAAATATAGTACAATAAGTATATCATAGGCTGACAGCTGCACTAACGGAACACCACCGGCCCTGCATTGCTCACCGGTCTTCAATGGGCCAGTGACCCAGTTAACCGAGAGAGAAAAAGCGAGCCAAAGCAAAAACGCGAATAACACACGCGCGTTTTTGTCGGTCTCCGGTTACAAAAACCATTGAATTGTACTTTCACTCGAAATTGTCGCGTGAAAAAAAAAAGCTGCGGCAAAATAGTTGCAAAAAAAAAATGCATGGCTTACTTCAGTCGAAGATCGGAAAGACCAGCAGTGTCAGCTGTCGTATCAGTCGGTATCCAAGGTATATCTCTCTGTGTATGTGTGTACGTCGCGTTACGCCTCCCCCAGTATATAGTTTAGCGCACGTATAGGCAGGGAAAACAACCGTGATTCTGATACTCCTCGTTAACGATGAAACGCAGCTTCATTGCGACGATAACGAATAATTTTACAAAGGGTTTACAAGTATTGGAGAAAAATAAGATAAATGGGCGTAGCTTTCGCGCACATCGGAGTACATACAGACAAAAAAAGGCTAGGCTAGAAAGGTTGCCGACCCTAATGTAACTGTCATGAACAAAGTCCCGGAGATGACTGCGCCGCCGACTCTCTTTCTTTCTCTTATCCGCGAGTCGAGAGTAGCGCATTGGCCGCATGCGCGCGTCGCGGCGCCGTTAGCTGCTTTTCCTTTTCTAACGCCCCAACGTTTCGATCGGCACTGCGTGTGTGTGTATATTCTCGTCCGACTTTCCCGTATACCGTTGGAGATTTTTTTCCAAACTTTTAAGGGTTTTCCATCGAGAAAAAAAAAATTACTTGATAATCATTTGTGCTTTTTTCCGGAACGACTTAACGGTCTTACGTGACGAAGCGTATATATGCTTCTAGGTGGACACGTCGTTGAATTTTGCAAGGCTAAATATTTTTCATAGTTTGTGGATACCAATGATAAGTCTAATTATATCTTGTAATAGGCTTTATAAAAAACATCATGGCAACGTTAATAAAATAACCAGATAAAAATCATGATGCGCAATCTACCCTCTTTCCTCGGTTTAGGTAAGCCTAAACACCATTTTTTTTTTTTGTTTCTTCCATACATTTTTATCCATCCGCGGTACTTGTGACTTTGTCGCTCATTTAATATTCTCGTCAAGCATTTGGCGCAGAGCGATAACATTTAACGACGCTCAAGTAATGGTTTTTTTTTTTTTTTCGACTCTACTCACAGATGTTTATATTTTAATGTCGATTCCAACGCTAATTTTTCTGACAAAGTTTAATCAATAATTTTTTTATTATTACACTGCCACAAAACTGTACGTATCAACCTCGCGATGTAGCTGAGAGTTGAGCTCTTGGCGTCGTAAACGTGACTTGAAAAAGCATCCACAGTAACGCGCCAAGTGATTACTGTGCTAAAAGCTTCATCACCCGCGAAGTCGTCCAGTCGCCGTTGCATTCTGAAAGTGTAGCGTTCGAACGATTCACCAGTACTAATTCTAACCTTTCGTATTTTCCACGTTACCACCAGGCGTCTAGGCCGCGTACAAGACTGCAATGTCGATGTCTCAATCGTAATCTGGGGTAGGGGGTGGTTAAGATTTTTCTATTTTCATTAAAATTACACAACTCTAACAGTATAATTTTATTCAAATCGAGATTTGAAAGAAGTTGTTAAAGTGTACTTCATACGAGAGCAACATCCCCCATATCAGATAGTATTAAATTAAATGTAATAAAAATAAAAATATTGTAATGGTGAGAGGAACGGATAATGCAACGTTAATTGATAATAATTTATTATATCCTTTGGAAAATGTCCAATAGAAACAAGTGAAAAATCTATCGGACGTACGATAAAATCTTTTTATCGGTTTTCAGCCGGTTTTTGCACCTGGAAAACCAAATAAAAAAAGAAACGTTTGAAAATAAATTTTTAATCTCTTTTATTGCAACCGAGACGTAGTTAAACATAAATAAATTAATACAATTTTGGGCGTACCATCCCAATGGCAACCCCAAATCGGTGGGACTCGAGTATTTTTCATGCAAATTGATGAGAAAGTGAATTAATAATTTTTATTACAATTCCGTGAAAACTACTATAGTTCCACCGTATTGGTGTTGCCATCCAGATGGTAGACCCTACATTTGTCAATTTACTTATGTTTAATGATGGCCTAGTTCAAATAAGTGAGATTAAAAGTTTGTACTATCGTACAATCCAGTTTCTATCTGGTTTTCCGGGTGCAAAAACCGACTAGAACGTAATAGAAAGAATTTTTCATTTGGTTCTTGAAATAGTCGGTTGTTGCATTAAAAAAAAGTTTTGACGGTGACATAGTATAGATTTTTGCCTCCAATTCCGACACAGTCGGTCCTTACCAGATTCTCGTCTCCGAAAATGACACAAAAGGAACTTGTCCATACGAAGTTGTAGGGTCTATCTTCCGATAGTGAGGTACTTAGATGGTCTTGCATAGAGCCCACGATATTTTTAGAAAAGAATGAGCTCGTTACGCCAATCGAGCCCCTTTTTTTGTATCTTAAACTGAAGTAATACTTTTTTTTTTGATGATATGAATTATGTTATGCTTTAAGCAGAAAAACACCATTGATTATTTAATAGTGTACTGCGCCACAAGGGACAAAAGTACGGCATTCCCTCCCGGGTGTGTGATTGCCTCCCGAGCCAAAGTCAGCCATTTTTGGTAGAACGATACCATACATCGGTCGTTGAGAGACTACCCGAGTAGTTACCTCGTCAATTCATCGGTAGGGGTCGGCGTACACACGGGCTCTCGCACTATTTAGTGGTTTTATGATTTTGTTAATTCTCATGGATTTATGCGTACTCTAAAACATAATTATACATATCTATACTTACCACTTTATTTGGTTAGAAGCATATTTTTTTATTTTAGGACTGTAGGGACTCGTCTCCATGTTCCGTGGCGCCCTCTATCGCTGGGCTTCTTGCCTCTAATACCTCATTGTCCCTTATCTTATGACCCGAAACTTACCTCAATGTAAGTATACTTGAAAGAGAAAGTGAGACTTCGTTTCCATCGTTATAAACATATTCGTCATCTTCCTGAGGCCTAATTCAGTTGCTCTTCTCCCTGTGTGAGTAAGCTATTTAGAAAGTTTCGACCAATCAGAGGACTTTGTAAAAAAACTCAAGGAGCGCGCTGATTGGTCTAAACTTTCCGACTCTCTGAAGTGACTCAAGTTGGTGAAAATAAGGACCGCGTCTTTCGTACAGCTATGTCCGTGTGGCCGTTTGTCCGGGATCCCTACTTACATAGAACATACCCATACTATAAAGTTTGTATTTATATACCTACTGTTTGACCTTCAATCTTTTTATCAGTCGTCAGTTGGTTATCATCAAGTAAGCAACAACAATATACACATCCAATATACATATATAGGCATAAGCTCTAATTACGTGCAGCGAAAGTTATATACAAGTACCTAATATGGTGATGAGGCAAAGAACGAAATATAAGTATATAAACAGCGACGCTGCTGCTGCGCAGATTTGGTAAAATAACGTCGCTTTCAACGGTACAAACACTCATCTTTGACTGCATAAGCTTAGTGCATCAGGTAGAATGACGTTGCGATCCACATCCACGTGCTGATAAAATCAAACACACTGAGCCCGTTACACCTACTCTCGCGTATAACTCTTTTTGTTTATGAACCTTCGTTGACACGCGCGTGTATCCCGCATTGCGGGTCGACACACGTCAGGATGCCTAAGGATAGGTGTTGCGTACCGTCGTGCAACTACGTTCGAAAGTATAGAAGTAACAACCAAAACTTTCGACGATCGTTGTTCAAATGCCCCAAAGATGCTCAACTGGCCCGAAAGTGGTGTGAGAACGTTGGCATATCAATGTCACCCACCGATCACGTTTGTGAGCGACACTTCGAACCTCACCACCTCATAAGCTTCGACTTCTTCGCGGGAGAAAACTACTTTCAGGTGACTTTTGTGCATATTACATATAATTGCTCTATTCTCTCTCTGTTTTTTTGCTTATCAGCGTCGTACTGTACTCAATTCATTTTTCATTCATTGTGTTTTTTATTTTTTGTTTATACACTGTAGAGGTCAAGACTGAACAAGCTAGCTGTACCCACAGTGTTTGATAACTGTAGTAATGAAATAGTCTCAACAAACAACGTAACACAATACGAGCTGACTTCTTTCACACATTTTGACAATGGTAGACTATTAAACTCTTGTGATATTCCATCGAACATCCTTCCAGATGAGAGTCTTGAAAATTTCGAAGTTTCTCAAATACAGTTGAAAGATAGTTTGAGCAGGCTGCCTAGAATTCAAAACTTTATGACAGATGTAGTTCAAGACTTGGAAGCTTCCAAAGAAGTACTCTTGAACATCAAGAAAGAGGAATTGACTTCAGAATCAACCACGGTCAAAGTAGAAACGTTGGAAGGTAAAGAAATTTTCTATTTTAACTCGACAAATACAGTGTCAGTGATTAATTTCTATATTGATTGTTGCAGATTGTGCTGATAAAAATAATCAAGAAAATAAGGCTGAAATGGCAAGACTGACGGTTCACCAGTACGTTAAGTATCATAAACAGCATCTGACTTTGTTACTACCAGAATCGTGGAAAATTTTTGAACTACCAATTAGTGAGGAAGAAGTAATTTCTTTTTCCAAAGAGTGTACAATTAGTGAGAACACAGGACTTGTAGTTTTGTATGAAAAAAATATTGTTATCTACAAAAACGGAAACGTACATTACTCAATTCATGGAAAAAGGTTAAGGGACATTGAGCCAGATAATTTACCAATGTTTCCAGCAAACATACCAAATACTGAAACGATGTTAAGAATTATACAAGAATTTGATTTAGTGAAAGTGTGCCAAGGATTCATGATCAGTGAAATGGAAATAAATAATGATTCTTCTCTTTGCAAGGATGACTTGGGCTTTAAGCGTCATGTGAAGTGTTTTCTTGTAGCTGATGCTCAACAGTGTGATATTTGCTATAAGTATAATCAAACTATGACATCGAGCATGATTAACAGGTCCCAAATATTAACAAATATACAACCTTATTATTATATAAGTAATCAAATGAATTGCTCTAGTCGGTAGAGTTTTATATTTAAAAAGACGTTAATCAATTTTTGTCTTGTTTTTTTTTAATTTTGACCATTTTTATTTTTTTAAAACTTAGATATAATTATACTAGTGAAAAAAAAATTTTTTTTTTTTTTCACTTAGGTCTATTGAATAGAAGTCCAGCGTGTAGGTACATCCTTATTTCAAATACCGTGATTAAAAAAAAAATAAATCAGCGAAATCAATTCAAAATNGCTTTGGTTAAGCATTACAACGATTAGTGATTAAACTTATCAAATACAAATTTTTTATGAATAAATTTTTTTCTAAATAATAAACTTATTGTTGTTAAATTTATTTTTAACTGCATAGTTTAGAGTGATGTTTGAGAGAATACTGTTTAAAGAATTAGTACCTAACAAAAAAGTGAAGTATTTGCTGTTCTTCGAATGCCCTAATCCACATACAACCTATTTAAAAAATTGTTTTTAATATTAAAAATTTGACAACCAATCTTTAGTCTAATTGAAAGTAGAAAAGCTTTACCTTTTTTGTAACTGGAAACAGTGCGACTTATTTTAGAGAAAGTAAGATAGCACGAAATGTAAAATTGCCATAAATGTTTGTAATACTTTTTCAAGATTTTTATTACTTATAAAAGTCATGTTAAATTATCATGACAGAATTATGACCAACAATTTCTTCAAAAAACTATTAAAAATGTAACTAAATCATGACTAAATTTTTTATGACAGATGGTAAAAGATGGAAAATGGTCATTAAAATTTACAAATGACATCACTTAGTCAAGAAAATCCCATTTATTGATTTATTTGCAGTTATACACTGTAAGTGTGACCTTATAGTTAGTGGGTATTGAAAATTATGATGGAATTTAATACAAACTAGAAATTAAAAATTCTGAAAAATTTACTTTCTAAAAATGTAGAGGAAGTAAGTGTAGCATACTTTAAATATTATTTATACTTTTTGTGCTTCAGTTCAATGAAGTCTATTTAAACATTACTTTTTTAATTATTTAATGAATACGACTTATGATAGTAAATATTAATTTTTACTGTTAAAGTTGATATTTAAAAAAAATTAGATTTTTATATTTTTAAATTATTAGGCAGAAAAATAAACATATAAATGAATGAATAAATAAAAGTTAGTATCTGCAATGCACTAATTTTAAAATTAATTAACGGTAAACGGCAAAAGCTTTGACTTCTTCAGTGACTTCATCCAGTATGGAAAAACAATAATTATAATCATTTATTAACTTATTTTTTTCAGAGTAAGAAATGGTCGGTAAAATAATTTCGTCGCGAGTTAAAAGTGGATCTTTTCTTTTATCACAATCTAACACATCTTCATCATCACTTTTATCTTTACTATCATATTTATCCTCACTATTAGACTCATTTCCTGTATCTTGCTTTTCATTTATAAAATGCACATACGGAGTATTGTAGCCGTAAATATATCTTCCATACAAAACATACAGGTTTCCCTGGTAACGAAAGGCAACTTCTCTTGACGGACAAATAGTTCCCCCCTTAAACTGTTCTTTACTCTTCACACTGGTGTCCACATATGAAGGCAACGCGTTTTCATAAGTGCACCTAATAATGAGGTCAATCATTGAGTCTATTTCAGGTTCGTTGTTCTTGTATAAAATATTACCCAAAACATAAATCTGTTTGCAATGGAAGTGGCGTAATCCACCAGTGTTATAGAAATCGTCAACAATTTTATCTAAATCGCTGTGCGGATTCCAATATCGCTTCATGCTATAGGTTCCATTGAACATCAATTTTTCAATGTTCTGATCATGTTCCATGGTATGAAAATATTCATTTTGTAGTGTTAATGCTTCCACATTTAAAGCCATGTTATCAGTTGAATTATTACTTGCACTGACACTCATTTCTGCAGAGTATTCTGAAAGTAAAAAAATTTTTATGCAAATTTATTTTATTACCCAATTTTTTATGTAACTTTTTAGAAACTAGAAACAGCAATATAAATATTGTAAATTTTTTTTCATTTAAATGATAATTTGTATAAAAGTTGGACATTTTATTAAAATTCACTTGTTCGTGCCATCCACTATGATTTGAAATTTAATTTCAAGCAATAAAAAAAAAAAAATTTTTATTCATACATAAGAGTAAGACAAATAATTGCACAGCTGAAAAGTACAACTCCTTTATATTATAAGTCAGCCATAAAAAAAACTTACCTATCTGAAACACTGGAACTGGATCAGTCCCTTGCAAAATTTTTCATCTACCTGTTGTATGAATGACCGAATTGCATTTAACTTGCACTTTTTTGTTAGAACTTATGAAATAATGTCCCTTCCTGTGTTCCTGTGTCTTCCTGATACAAACAAAACAAAAAGAAGAAAATGCTATTAACTCTTCTAACTTAAAGCTCAGCTAAGGTAGGAAGTCTCGGCAGTCTGATAATTGACGAATAGGCCATGACATTTTATGTTACGTACTTAAGACATCTTTCAAAAGTGAAACTTGTAAAGATGTCAAAAATTGGGGACCAACCACAGTAAAAAGTGAAAAGTTAGAGTGAAACATTTTAAGCTTCATCGTATATGCTGCTTATAATACTAGAGCTTACCTCCATTCAATTGTACAGCTTCGCAGTTTGCGCAATGAAAACAGTCCAAATCAACTTCTTCTGCAAGTACTTATGTGTGCACAACTGCACGTGGCCTCAAATAAATTTTAGCGCGCTTTTTGGAAGGAATACAACAAGAAAAGTCAATACAATAAAATATACCTATATATTATAGTGATCGGGAAATTGGAAAGAGTTTCGATTGTCGATACATCGAGTGCTTGTATCGGTGTATCGGTTTTCTTTAAACAAAGTGGTTGTAATACAAATATTGTACGGTATGGTCAAGATCAAGGTTGTCTCAAATATGTTAATTTATTAAACACTACTTAATTAATTATAATTATGTTACTTTTGTTATTTCCGATCTATGGAGGTTAGACAGGTATTTCAGTCTTTGAAATACTTCGATAACCTATATATATAATGCGCGGTCGATTCTCGAACTGTTGTATAGCAGACGACGACCGCTCATCATACCCCCTCTTCGACGCATGCAGGCAGTGTATAATTTCGGAACGTGTGCATGCGGTCACAGCTGTCACCTTTTTTCGGAGTCGTGCACACGAGATAAGACGACGACTATACGACGAAATGTTGCAAATATTGATTAAGCTTAAGTAGTTTAGTAAGAACCGGGCAAGTATGGGTGCCCTAGGAGGTGACGGCAGCGAGGCCAAGGAGAGCCGGGAAGTCCTCAGCACGGTTTTTCTGTGCCTCCTTTGGTACGTGGTGTCGTCGTCGAGCAACGTCGCGGCCAAAGCTTTGCTTTCGGACTTTCCGTACCCAATAACCGTGACGATGGTTCAGTTGACGACGATTAGTTTGTTTTCGGGGCCGTTATTTAGTTTGTGGGGGGTCAGACGCACAAGCACCAGCCTCATAACCTGGTCCTACTACTTCAAGTTAATCGTGCCACTTGCGGTGGGCAAGTTCCTCGGAAATCTTTTAAGCCACGTCAGTATTTGGAAGGTGCCTGTCTCCTATGCCCACACTGGTGAGTCGTTTTTTATTCCCTCATGGGAAGTACTGTTGGTCTTGTACTTTGATTGATCGATGCTTTGCACAGCCTTGGATTGCTGGCGAATAATCTAGCTATTCACATATGTTGACATTTGTGTGGCAAGTTGTGCTCTTGTAGAGTGAATGACAAGTTGTCATATGTTTCACTTGCTTGAATGTACTATATACTTACCAAGATACGTATTATTTGTTATTTTCATTAAGTAAACAATTTAATATGAGGCTTTAGTTTTGTCAATAACTTTTAAGTTTTTTGCTTCATTTTTTTTAGGGGCATAAATCATCAAAGTCATCAAGTAATTCCATAATTCGTACAAAAAGCTTCCTAAAAGAATTTCATGAGGCAGTGTGCTGCTGAATCTCAGAGAAATCCAAAAATAAATTCCGTATATAGGAGTAGAAAGTGACACGTGACTTAAAAATCCCGCGTTCTCTTACATATGCTTCGAGATTGCAATTCAATTTTGTTTTGCTTTTACTGTTTTAAACACCGTGTGTAAATTGCTTTATGTATGACATTTGCCGCTAGTTGTTTTCCTCTTATCATTGACCGCAAAGTAATTGCCACAATCATGTATACATACCTGGCTAATTAGCAGTGTTTATTTATTTTTACCAGAGTAAAAAAATTGCAGCATGCATTGTCTGTGTGAAACAAACCTCAAGCCTTTTATATTGGTATATATATATTTATGTATGGAGTGGCCTCGTGGCACTTTTAACTTTAATAAATTAGCTTCAAATATTATACTTTGGACTTAAGTGAAAATAGTTGGTCTGCCAGGGTGTGTTTGATGCAGAAGTATAGTTTTTTTTTTTTATTTTAACTATTTGTTTTACGATAAGACCACCATAAACAAAATTTTTAAGTGAATCCATAGGTAGGGTACTTTGCTTTTCTCGAAATATAGATTTTAAAATCACCCAGTCGCGTGCGCTACACTATTTACGCGAAACTACATGTGTACGATCTGGTTTTATTTTTCGCATGCGCTATTACCAATTTCGCGCTTCGCATATCGTTTCGCGTACAGTTTCTCGTACGTGACTCAGGGCGTATAGGTATAATAACAACACTCACAGTACGTTACCAAACAATTGAAAAAATGCACGAATAGCCTAACAATAAACTGAATCGCCTGCATTATGTTGCATTTTATTTTTTCTTCATTCAATCGCAAGAACACGATATCGTTATTTTTCAACACTAAAAGCTAATTGAACAGCTTACAAGCTCAACTTGCAAGCTTGCCTCGCTAAAATTTTTTATTCAATCCCAGTGAAGGCCACAATGCCCCTGTTTACTGTGCTCCTGTCCAGGATCATATTGCGCGAGCGACAAACAACAAAGGTTTATGCCAGCTTGCTGCCCATCGTCGGTGGTGTGGCCATTGCCACCCTGACCGAGCTCAGCTTCAACTTCACCGGGCTCTTGAGTGCACTAGCCTCGACTATGGCTTTCTCGCTGCAGAATATTTACTCCAAAAAGGTAGGGATCCTTTTTTTTTTTTTTTTTTTTTTTCTTTTCTTCTATTTTTTTTGTTTTTTTAACTTTTCAATCAGGAAATATTATCATGACTCATATGCAATTATCAATTTCAGGTGCTCTACGATACTGGTATCCACCATCTGAGGCTACTACTAATTTTAGGTCGACTCGCGTTGTTCATGTTCTTGCCGGTGTGGCTGATGTATGACGTGCGGAATCTCTGGCACGATCCAGCGACCGGAAGGGCCGTGGAGATTAGCACGAGGACTCTGGTGCTGCTGGTGGTCGACGGTATCCTGAATTGGTTGCAAAATATAGTGGCGTTTTCGGTGATGTCGATGGTGACGCCGTTGACGTACGCCGTGGCGAGCGCCAGCAAGAGGATATTCGTGATCGCCGTGACGCTGTTTATTTTAGGCAATCCGGTGACTGGACTGAATATTTTTGGTATGGTTTTGGCCATCGGTGGGGTGCTTTGTTACAATAAGGCCAAGTACGATCAGCGTCAAGCTGAGAGGAAGAAGAGCTTGCTGCCCAAGTACAACGCGAACGGGCATCAGAGTTCTTTCCTGGTAAACGGTTGGGCAGACGACAAGCATAGATTGTTTGCTGCTTAGATAGACCAATTTATTGCTATCAATTTTTATTTTTATTTTTTTTTTAATTTTCAATTTCTGTCTGCATACAGAGAAGTGAGCGTTTTACTGCGTTTTTTTTTTTCTTTTTTTTTTGTTACACCGAATAGTAATGCTCAGTATTTCTCTAGTGCTCACCGAAAGACAGAAATATTATTAGGACAATATTTTTTATGATTTTAATAAGAATTAGCATCGTTAGGAATAAATTGATACATTAGGATGGACTTGCCTAGATCTATATGCAAACTTATTGTTGAAAAAAGTCTGTCCAACTTATACGTGATTTTTATTTTTGCCATTACTGAAAATAATGCGTTTCGCTTCGGAATAAATTTCACATCTACTCTATCAAAGTTCTTTTTAAAATATTTTTGGCATGTACCCGTACTTTGAGATTTAGTGCTTATAACTGGTACTGTCAAGAAATAACGAAGAAAATATTTATTACTGCATTTTTGACAGTTATTTAAAAAAAAAAATTTGGTCATAAACTTTTTTCGATGTACCGATAGTTGCATAAATCAATAAAAGATTTTTTCATTCAATTATAAATATAATTAAAAAGAGCTTAGTATCGTATATATTATTATGTGCGGCATTCTGGACGTGTCAATCGCTGGCTCGATTGATGATTTTTCATTACCGAAACGCGGGAGAAAATAAATCGAAACACGTTTCTTCCATTAACGTCGTGTAGTTTATAAATGTTCATAGTGCATGAATGAATTTATTAATTTTTTTCATTAGACTTTGATAAATAAAAGTAACAAAGTGTTCATGTGTAAATAAAAATAAAACGCAGGTGAAGGTGAATGTTCAGGCAAAACCAATCAAGCGTTGCATAAATTTTTTTTGTACATTTTTAACATCGCCGATTGTTGTGTTGCAATCTCGAAAATTATGTACAACGGTATAGGGAGCATGTATTTCGGATGTAAATATACACCGAGAGAATGTTGGTGACGCCGCAGCCCAAAATGTAGAAAGCGCTCTCACGTTTTATTTGGGAGAGCAGATTTCCCAGATGGTAGCGTGACTGCCCCAACTTTGAGGAGTGCGACTCTCTCCCGAGCGGTGAGAACGCCACGCTTTGGCTATTTGGGGCTCCAGCATCACCAAATGCCTCTCATCCATTTCTTTCAACGATATAAACTTTTAAAAATCTGTGAAAAGAAAGAAAAACAACTGCTCATCCATTGTTGAAAAAAANGACGTCGTCGTCCTCGAGCACCACGTCCTTTTTCAGGCACTTTACCGCGTAGACGCACTCGGTGCCCCGAAGCTCCGCGAGCAGGACTTTGCCGAAACTGCCCTTGCCCAGTACCTGTGGGCGCGCAGGACCAATTTTTTTTTTTTTTTTTATTGCTTCACGGCTCCGTGTATCATCATAAACTCAAAATACGGCTCCGTGCAGATTTAAAAAAAAAAAAAAAAAAAAAAAAAGGAAAGAAAAGAAAAGTAATATAATAATAATAAATCATAAAAGTATCAAGAGACATTGTTTGTATCCATTTTAATTATATAAATTTACAATCTGCACGAAACATGTTTTACCAACATTTGGTAAAAGTACCATATGCAAGTTCGTTTTCCCCGTGAAAATCCTTCCGTGCATCCACGCGCGCAACCGATCGTCTCGATACGAAAAATAAAAGCCTCTCCCATCCGCTAGTACAGTTTGTTGACGCTGTCGGTGGGCGAGACGGGCCTGGCGATGGTGAGCTCGAGCCTGGCCCCGGCCGCGGCGATGAGGGGCACCGCGAGGCAGCAGTCGCACTCCTCGGTGCTGGCCTCGTTGACGCGCAATATCCGATCGAAGGGCCGTAGGAGCCCGTCGCAGGGCCCACCGGGCCTGAGCCTGTTTATGTACACCCCGCGCTCGTACAGCCCGTCCGACACCGAGAACCCAAAGTCCTCGTACACCGGGTCCTTGTGCAGCGACACGTGCAGGATTTGCTGCTGGCTCGGCGACACTGGCGGAGGTGGCAGCGGCTGAGTGGGACTACAACTACAGCCGGGTCGCGGTGAATTCGACGCCGCGGAACTGCAAAACCAATGGATGACGATACAAGAGACGTGCAATATGGTACAGTGGATTGCCTTATTGTCGATTAAAATGTGTTTTCTATAACGTACTTTGGGTAGGGGTAGGGAGGCATGGGTAGATCGAGTTGGCCGCTGTCGACGGACGCGGTCTCCCAGAGCCTCATGATCTCCGGGCCAGCGACGTCGCCCATCTCGCCCCAGGAGTCGACCGCGCTGTCGACGCTCGGCAAACTTTCCCGGGCCGACCTCACGGCGCTGCTGCTGCTACCGGCGCTCGTGTACTGCACCGAGTCGCCCGCTATGCTCTGCTCCCTGTGGGACAACGAAAATCGTCTACCAAACGTAGATCTCGCTCGTAAAAACACGTCATATCCACCAACGCGCGTCTGCGGCTTTGTAAAACACAATGAAGCATGTGGAAACTTGATTAAATTATATGAATTGAAAAATCACCATCTTATTTGGAAAAAGTTGGAAGCGACGCTCATCCAAGTATTGGTTCGACCAAGACTGTAGGGAAGCACCTGCTGCTTTGGATGAGCAAGGTCTTGGTGCTGCTGCTTCCCTACAATCTTGATCGAACCAATACTTGGATGAGCGTCGCTTCCAACTTTTTCTCAGTGACAGATACACACTTCATTGGTTTAATTCTGTCAGCAAAGATTGTATTTTTCGTTCGTAAAAGTAACTGCCACCACTGAATGTGAGGGAGGTAAAAAAACGTACCTCGAGTTGGCTGTGTTATTGTTATCTTGTTTTACCGAGCCGTCAATACAGCGCAATAAATAATAAAACCAGCACCGACCTCGTATCGGGCGTGAGATCGGGTTTGCGCACAGTGAGGGCCACGACGCTGCTGCCGGGCCTGTGGAGCAGCTGGGCCGCCTGGTGGAGGTCGCCGGGGTCGAGTTTCTGGTTGTCGATCGCCAGGAGCCGGTCCCCCGGGGCCAGGCTGCCCGTGCGGTAGGCGAGCGAGCCGCGGCGCACCTCGGATATCCGGAGGCCCTCGTTGACCGTGAGCCCGAGGTCCGGCTGGCCGCCCAGGGGCCGCGCCACCCGCACCGTGAACACCCCGCTGCTCGGCACCACGGCCCCACCCACCTTGTACTCAACCATCAGCTCTACCTGTGTTGTTTTTTTATTTCAGTCACTACTCAAGCACCTGCACTTATCCACCCCCTTCCTGGTCCACATATTGATGAATGTGTCTCAAGCACCAACCTGGGGCGCCTCGAGGATCATCGCAACTTCGGCCGGTTGTAGGTCCCTGACGGCTCGCCGGTTGATGGCGACGACCCGGTCCCCGGGCAGCAGGACGCCGCTCCTCTCGGCCGGTCCCCCGGGCTCGAGGATGTCGACGACGTAGTCGAGCCGGTCGTCGCTTTGTCTCAGCCCGATGCCCAAGCCCCGGTGGTCCGGGCGTAGGAGCACGTTGAGGGTCTCGCTCACGTGGAGCGTCGATTTTTGCGGCTGGACTCGGCGCTTCATGGTGCGGCTGGACGCGCTCGGTGGCCTTGGCAGTATCTGCAGCCTGTCGAGACGGGCACTCCGAGAATAAAGAGAGAAAACCCCCGTCGATGTACCAGTTGGACGTGTGCGGCTTACCTGGCGATGCGACAGTTCTCGGAGTTGTTGCGCAACAGCTTGGCCGCGGTGACCGCGTCCTGGACGACCACGTCGTCTACCCCGAGCAGCCGATCCCCCGGCTGGAGGGCACCGCAGCGGTCGGCCGTGCTAGCTGGCCGCAAGCTCTCGATGTACACGCCGCTGTGCGCGTCCCGCACCGTCAGGCCCAACTCTCCTGGATGATGGTGGAACAAACAGTTTTTTTTTTAATTGTATTTATACAATGGGAATAAAAATCTTATGTGTATTCATTTTGGGCATAAAACAGCCGTGTCCTGCAATACTTCATTGTCTCTAGTATATTTCACGAGTTTTCAAACACTTTGACAATTTTTTTTTCCTCTCAAAGTGCATTCTTTTGGCTGAAAAAACTGTTTATGTATAACTGTTCATGGTGCAATACTCAGAGGATATTATTTTTTTTCTGACATATTAGATCGATGTCCCAATAGTCGATCACTTTTTTCGGTGATAGACTTTGCTATATATTTTTAATTCTGTATGGACGTTAATTTGTATTGAAAAAGTGATCGTTTAGCGTCTGAATATCTATCCAATTCATGTATGTTTTAAAAATTAATGGAAAAATCAGCTGACTGACCGACTATTGGGACATTAATTACAGTTACATTTTAAATAATTTATCGACTACTTTGACAATTTTTTTTTTTCTCAGTGTCTTCTTTAAAATGGTAATTCACTGTTTTTGTTGGAAAGAACTTTGTTAGCCACCATCAGTGTTACGAGTAGTAATCCCAAAAACTTTTTCAGCAAAAAAGTTATAGAAAAAAAAATAGTAATTCCGCCTCTAGTCGAGAGATGCAAACCTTGCGGTCCGCGCTCCAGTTGGACGAGCAGAGGCCCGGACGTCGCGGCCCTGATCTCATCCATGTTGGCGACGTCGTACTCTATGGTGAGCGAAGCGATGGGCGAATCGGAGCTCCTGCGAAGCGCCCGCTGGGCCTCGGCGAGCGTCAGGCCCCTCAGCTCCGCGTCGTCCACCGCCAGGAGCCGATCCCCCGGCCGCACGCGACCCTCCCTCGCCGCCGGACCCTCCGGCTTCACGCTCGTCACCACGAGGGCTCGGCCCGCGCTGCCCCGCAACGTCACCCCCAAGCTGCCGCTCTCCCGCTCCACGCGCACCTGAAATCATCGGGTCATGGTTTTTTTTTTTTTTTTTTTTTTTTTTTTTTGGGGCGGGGGAAAGAAACGAAAATCACTATCGGTCCCTCCCCCGAAAAATTAATACACCACAGTGCAGCTCGAGAACCGCCGTCGTCGGGACGGGGGATATTTTTACCCGCGGTCTATTTCCGTCGCGGAGAATCCGACTCTCGGGCGTCTTTTTAACGCGTCTCCACTCCAAATGAAAAACATATAGGTAACGTACGTGTACCCACTGTTTGACAATACATGGTTACAGGTGTATATAGAAAAATCCCCCTTACCGTGAATTGCAATAATAAAAGTGCAGTTATACCTGGGCAACCTTGGAGGACAAGCTCGTGGTGGCGGTCTCGGCGACGTCCTCGAGGAAGGGCGAGGCGCTGTAAAAGCTCCCCGGGAGCATCTGACCGGGACACGGACTGGGTGCCGATGTCGCGGTTGGGGCGGTGCTGGGCGCTTCGTCGGTCCGCGCGGCCGAGTCGGAGCTCGCGTTCGTCGCTACGCTGCCCGGCCTTGTCTTCTTGTGCGAGCGCATCGTCGCCAGCCTCAACGAGCTGAACATCTTTGCCATTTCTTCCCTCTCTCTCTCTCTCTTCGAGTCGTGTTTTACTCCTTGCAAAGGCGCGCGCCCCAAGGGCGCCCGACTCTGATTTTTCCTTCCGCTCCTCTTGTTTTGCCCTTATTTTTCTGCTTCTTGGGCAACCCTCGCTCCGAGCCCTTGCTCGAGGTGTGCATGTAGAAAGCTCGACCGAGACGAGCCACCGTCTGTACACACTCAGTGTGGATGTTGCGTTTTTTTTCTTTCTCTTCCCTCTCTGCTCTTTGCCGGCTGAAAGTCGTCGTTTACGTTTTCTGCAACAAGCGCGACAAAACATACACACACATGTGCCGTTGATCGTTAGTCACGCGTGCACGGATTGTTGAACCCCGCGCTTGTTCGTCTAAACACCATTTTATCGGTATAAGCGGTTTTAGTTAAATGTACGTTTGTATAGTAAATATTAGTTTCCGTGAACTATCGATTGATAAGTGCCAGGCTCGAGAGCTTGCGCAAGCTCCGTTTACCGGATTTTTATAATATAGTAAAATTTACCGATCAATCGTGTGATACTTTACTCGATCGGTGGGATTGAAGAAAATGGAACATTTACCTAAACAAGGCCGGAACATCCCAGTTGCAGACTCGTCGTCGTCGCGCACCACCACCAACACACTTGAGATTCGATTCGTTTCATCGTGATAGTATAAGTACGACGCGTCGTGTGTTACTTTTGTTTTTGCAAAGAACTTTTAAAACCCAAAATCGGTCGTTTACAAAAATGAAGAAAGAAAAAAAAGGGGAAGGAACAAAAGAGAAAATCTTGAGTCGTTGAATTTCGTTCGGTCTTGTTCGTTCGCGTGTAGCGTAAAAAAAAAGAGAAAAGAAAAATTTACAAAATACTGTGCCTAAATGTGTGGGACGAGTGGGTGTTTATATATATTTATGAATTTGGAAAAAAGCAGCGCCCGCCGCGCCGGCCCGAGCGAGCGAAAGCCGCGAACGAACGACCGGACAAAACTGAAGGCCCCCGCGACTCCGAACCGCCGCGCGCGCCTATGCTCTCTCTCTCTCTCTTTGCTTGGGAAAAGAGGGGCCGGAGAGACGAAAACACGTGCGAATGAGGCGAGGAGGAGGAGGAGGAGGAGAAAAAAAGCTCCACGCTTTACGGGTGGTGTGGGGTGTCGAAACATCATCGGGGCACGCCTGCTGCGAAGCCGCTCACGTTAATGGATGTGGTACCTATAAGTGCCTACCACGTATATACATATATGTATTTCATGTGTATATGTATATATATATATATTTGGATTATAAACCGAGTTGTTGGGTATATATAGTGGCTCTGAGATGCAGCGCAGTTACGACGTGGTGATTGAGGTCTCGCGCGTGCCCCGCCGATTGAGCTTTCGAGATGCACTACTCTTATTTCTTCTTTTCTCGCGTGACGCGTGGGCGTAATTAATCGTTAAAATGGATATTTTTGATGACTGTAACATGACTTTTTTTTTTGTTTTTTTTTTTGTTTTTTTGTTAACCCAACAATGAAAGATATATACGTGAATTTATCCAACAAAGCGCGACGGCGACGAAAATAACGAAAATAACTTAATCGAGCCGAGTCGGGGAGGCGTTAATATATCTTCATAACGGTGTAAGCGTATAATCTCGAAAGCCAGACGCAAAGGAACAATTAGAGATCGCGAAGAGAAGGCGTCAAGAGCCTACTCGTGCGTATACACATACATGGTTGAAACAGCAAGCGCACGCGTTTTACTTGCACCATTATCGTCAAAGCCAGCCAAAGTTAATATATATAGGGGCTGGTATACAGTAGATTAGCGAGGAGTAACGACGACCAAGGAGTTAATGAAAAGGGGAGAAAAGAAAGTCCTCCTCCGAGAGATACGCGTATACGTATACGAGTGAGTTCATGGCGGCTGTATAACCCGAAATAGCTCGCGGGGGAGAGTATATATACGCACGGCGTACTGTATGTGTATATATGTGCAATAGATTCGACTCGAACCGATCGTTGACCGATCGGCTTCCCCCGACGTGTTTATCAATTTTGCGGCTGTCCCTTTACGCTCTCTCTCTCTCTCTCTCTTTTGCTGCTTGCATTGTTTACTGATTGATGATGATGGTAAATGTGATATTTACGAGTGCAGTATAAGAGTAGGTGCAGTGAATGTCTATAGTAAAGGGTGATACAAGGGTGAGGTTGTTACAATCCCTGTATGCTCACATGTAGAGGAAAGAGCTTTCGTAAGCTCGAGTGCGGAGTACGAGGTGTGGGTAATGTACATCTCGATTGCCGATGGGTGAAAATAAACGACAAAACTTCGCATGTTACATCAGAGGACGTATATTTACAACTCACGCCTACGACTCGGGAAATAATAAATTGTTACGGTACAACGAATGAATGTCTTTTTTCTTTAGTAAAATAACAATAATAGTACACTCGTGGCACAAAGTTTGTCAAATAAACTGTAACCATCCACCAGATTTCTAGACACGTAGGTTTTTTTTTTTTTTTTTTTTTTTTTTTTTTTTTTAATTTTCGACGGGTGGACGGGGAAAATGAAACCATAAATCGTGCCTGTGTAAAAAAGCTCGGTCAGTACACGCATGGTGAATAAAGTTGATCGCTTTTGGCGCGCAAGTATAACGAAGAACGACGACCGGAAGCTCCGCGTTCGCGTCCCATCAGCCATCAAGCTTTATGATTATCCCCGCGCCTATATATGTATATAGGAATCCATGGCACACACGCGCACACATAAATACGTCCAACTCTCTTTCTCTGCAAGCTCGGTATATAGCAGCCAAATCGTAGCCCAGCGCTGAAAATAAAGCCCGTGTATCTCTCTCTCTCTCTCGTATGTATATTATATGGATGTGTGGTTGGTAGAGAAGTCCAGAAGAAGACGCTGCAGGGTAGGGCGCGTGAACTCAATTTTGAAAAGTTCGCGAGCAAAAAGAGGGCCGCGCGAGTTATAATAACACAGACGCGTTTCCTTCACTTGTACTATATGCGAGAAAGCTGTATATGTATATATATATA